AAGAAGAAGAAGAAGAAGAAGAAGAAGAAGAAGAAGAAGAAGAAGAAGAAGAACAATAGGAACAATAAGAATTATAATAAAAAGAAGTATCTAAATGTAATCGTGAAATTGGACTTACGGAGGGCAAGAAGAAGTAGTTTGGCGTCCACGTTCTTCATGGTGTTGTACGTCTTTGGCCGTTGGTTGGTTGCTGCTCTCGAGTGGTTTCCTGCTTCTGACACTTATAATATGATCTTATTGTGTTGCAAATGTTGTAACAAGCTCGCGTCACTGAATCCAAGTGTAAGCGTAAGGTGTTGTATAGGCTCTAGAGTGCTAGCTGTACTAAAGCTCTCTTGCTTGCCCCAGCGACTTTTAAAGTTAAGTCCCTGTAAGAAGGGGTAAACCATTTGTGACGACAAACGATAAAAAAATAGTCTAATGTTAATGCATGAAACAACCTGATTGGGCTACTCGGAATCGGGGGTACAGAAATCTGCGCCTGATTAAAATTTATGGGTGGAACCGATGATGATGATGATGGTGTTGAATAAGCCTACAAGGTGAGATTAATTTCGTGAGTAAATTTTGTTCACACGGACGGACCAAATAGAACTAGCACCTGCGTTGGTCGCGGCCGGCATTTTTCCACACAAAAAAAACACCAACCCACCACCGGGAAGAAAAAATCAATTGAAAACAACAACGACAAAAACTGGGAATAATATTCGTAAAAAAAAAAAAGAAACCAAACCTCATTACATTTAGAAAGAAAGTATAATTTTATTTTCACTTTCGCTTCACTTCGTCTCTTTCTCACTTCTTAATACTACGTTGATTTGTAATTTTCATGTGAAGAATAATATAAGTAGGCTACATTACATACTATTTATATTGCTGTTTCTCTTTCATGTTTCCCTCTTTGTTGCGTTTTATTTTGTTGGTGTGTTAATTTTGTTTTCTCGTTCTGATGTGTTGTTTTTCCATTTTTTGTGTGTTTATATATCGTAATGTTCTTTCTACTTAAAAAAAAGAAGGTTCTATACATGTAGTTATGTTACCGCGTGTCTCCACCAAAGAAGGAATACTGACACTGGCAGGCCCTTTGTTTGTGATGCCATGGTCTACATGTTAGATCCTGTACTTTTTCTTTAATTACGCGCGTCCGGGTTAAAACGGCCAGTCTATGGATGGGTTGACACACGCCCTTATTTGTTAATTTTCGTGGTTATTTATTTGCTGTTCTAATTTTGATTTCATTCTGTTGAAAAACATTTATTTTTCTCGTTTTACACTTTGTGTGTGGGTGGTTGGCGAGTGCTCTGGTGTGGTTTGCTTCTTCTTTCCTTTGAAACATCTATCTTTTTCATCTCCCCCTTTTTCTTTTTTATGTTTGTTACTCTCTTGTAACTCCTCTAATCTTCTGGCGCTCATATGACCTTATGCAGTTGCGAACGCCGTAATATCTCTACTAAAACTAAACACTCTGTGTGGCTGCAAATGATATTCTGGATGCTTAAAACAGAGCGCTAGAAATTCTGGTGCTTAAGATAAAGTTATCTCTATCAACAATTCAACATATTGCTACGTCGTCACAGAGAGGTGAAAGCTTGAAAATTCATGGCAACTTTTTTTGGGCAACTTTTGCCATTTTTGTGGCAACTTTTGGCAACTTTTGGAGAAAACTAAGGACTCCGCCTTGCCCTGGGAGCTTAATTTCTGCACATTCCCAGTGGAAAGCCTCCAGTCCAAAGCCAACACACAATCTCTGACACTCAGACGAGCACAGCTTTCACTAGACGGCGCACTTAAACAGAACTAGATTGTCAAAAACCAACTCAGACACAATATCAATAACCAAATTAAAAAACAACGATAAACTCATCGTGGTCTACCTTCTCGGCCTTATGAGTCCCTAGGAACCCTTGAAACATCAACTTCTCAACAGGTCCATAAGTGCTCAGTTCCCCCCAGCACCAAAGCCCGCAAGGTATCCATACTGATTGTTCCGTTGGCTGTCTGGCTAAGATCTCCGTGACCCAGATATGGGGTGACTTTCACTTTCACTTTCAGGTTCTCAATGGCGAAGAAATATCGGACAAACCGTTGTGTAATTGAACTGATTGAACCAAAAAGTACCCGGGGAGACAACATTTCGTAATATTAACTATGGAAACCCAATCTTTAAACATTCAGAAAGTCTAGGTCTAGTTCTTCTTGTTACACAAATAAACATTCATAACGTGTGGCGAGAAAAGAAGAAAGGGGGAGGGTTGGGACATTCCTTTAGTCAGATCAAGAAACGAGAACACAAGGAATGGCGAGGGGTGGACGGTCTGGACTACAAATACACGTAGTATTGTTGAAACAAAGATGAGAGGAATAGACACGAGAAAGAACAGTTCATATTTCGAAAAAGAATAATATTTAATGAGCACGACTCGGACTTTTTCCGACGTAGAGAGTGGTTTTCCACTGCTGACATTGAACACAGTTTAATATGAAAGGCAGAGAATACACTGTATAAACATAAGGTAACAAAACGCAATATCTGTATAACATTACGTGTGATAAGTAGTAGGAGAGTTTCGTTTTGAAAACGTCTCCAGAATCCAGTTGAACGGCCCACAGTTAACCAGAAACACGTTTAGAATAAAGCACTTTTCCAAGTAAAAGCCACACCACCCGGATGGTCTGATTGAACACCTACTACAAGTATGTTATTGACAAGAAACAAATCTGAGCTCTTAAGGGAGATTATTATTTTTAAAAAAAAAGCGTTAGTAAGCGTTTTACAGCACTTGCAACACAATAATGTCATATAAGTGCCGAAAAGAGAATGGTTTACAATTACCAGATATCCAATTGAATAAAATCCACTGAGGAATAAAAAAAGATGAGTGGCACGGATGTGTTCACACGCCTGATAGCTAATGTAAAATCCGGAAGGAGTGACGCCAGTTACCAGATTATCAGATATATACCTTAGTCAAATGCACAACATGCAAAGGGTCTTTCTGGGCTGATCCTCTGTGCCCCTGTGTATAAATAGAAACAGAGTCCCCTGATTTGGGCATTGGAGATATTTTATTCTTATTAGTTATCACTCAGTATTTGGGTTTTGATGAATTTTTATAACTTGTCGCGATGCGGTGGAATCAGCGGCTCATCTGATTTTGGGCATATATGGTGTTTGATATCATCTTGAAGCTTGTTCACTTGTCTTGCTTTTGATGAAAACGTACTTGCTTAAGGCAAACAACTCAATAAGTCCGAGTTTAAGAGGTTAATCGTATTTCGTCTGTGGTCTTCATGTGCAACTTAAACCCACCCCCCTTGTTTCTTTGTTTTTTTCCTCACAAGTTTTCTTTGCGCTCCCCACCCCCCCCCCCCCCCCCCCCCCCCCCCCCCCCCCCCTTCCCCAACCAACCGCCGAACCGTGTTTCCGTGATGGATTACATTTTATTCTTGCGGACATGTACGAAGAACAGCACACTGATGACTACCAAATACATTAATTTATTGTTATTGTTATATGTTATCGTTAAAAACAACGAACATTGATCGCAAGTTGGGGAAAACAGAGCAACTGAACGCTGTCTTTTCAAAGTGTCATTGGTATTTATTGGCAAGACATTACATGGTATTTACTGGCAGGACATTACATGGTATTTACTGGCAGGACATTACATGGTATTTATTGGCAGGACATTACATGGTATTTACTGGCAGGACATTACATGGTGTCGCTGACTTAGTGGTTAAACGACCGGACTAGTGATCGTGAGGTTGCGGGTTCTTGGGTTCGAGCCGCGGGCCCGACGTTGTGTCCTTGGGAAAGGCACTTTACATGAATTTTCCCCACTTCACCCAGGTTGGAATAGGTATCCAGCTATAGACAGTGAAAGATCTTGTCAGTTTGTTAGTGTTTGAGCGCTTAACCAGCTGCTTGCACTGTATGCTTCCCAGGAAGCTGAGGATGTTTCTGGGTGTTCGGTGGTCTGCTCGGGTAATAATTTAGTGTAAAGCGCATAGAGACTGCTTTCGAGTGGGGACATGCGCTCTACAAATGCTATTATTTATTATTATTATTATTATTATTATTATTATTATTATTATTATTATTATTATTATTATTATTATTATTATTTACTGGCAGGACATTACATGGTATTTACTGGCACGACATTACATGTTTATACAACAATGGCTGACGTAAACAGCAATAGGTTTCCGTTCAGTTCCTCTCGCCGAGAGGCCCACGACTTGTTTAAAATATATAGCCAAAGCGCTTTGGTTATAACCCATCTCACCTCTCTGACCCTCCATGTGGGTAATCTCGATGCATCATAACATATGCCGGATAGATTGGTCAATTCCAAGAAATGACGGCTCCGCACGGATGGGGTAAAATAATATCTAAAGACATTAACTAGAGTTTACAGCATCAACGTAACTGTTTTATCGAGATGACCAGGGGGCGAGATCTAGCAGCAGATCCCAGGCATCTAGGACACTGCTGGCTGGAGGTGGAGAAGATCGCCCGGAACAGAGGTAAGTGGAGGGCCCTTCTTGGCGGCCTATACCCAGTACCAGGGTGAGAGAGGCGAATGGTGAATGATGAACCGCTTTTTATCCTATCACGAGGATCTAAGAGTATAATATACTATATTACAGCCTAGTAAAAATGTGATGCAATAGCTCATCCGTCAAAGTCTGACGATGACCAATGCATTCGCATAGGAAAATATCTCTTCAGCGAAATAGAAACATAATATGAAGAAGTAAAGCGGAAGATGGCTTGAGGCTTCTCCTTGACTCACGCAAAGGTTTGTTGGAAGTTAAAAATAGCAGCGAAAACATTGGACTCAATCTCTCGCCAAAGTACAATGCATCTCATGGAAGGCTCAGTAAAGCCCATATATTACCTGCAGTTTAAAATCGGGTAAATGGTTCAGTGCGCAGAGGCTTCGTGAAGTGAAAATTTGCAGTTTGACTTTCATGTGTACTCACACTGATTCCGCGGCTATATCTTTATATATTAGAAGATGGAACTTTCTTATAAAGTTCAGTAATGACAGCTAAAAACTAAAGTGTGCCATATTAGTTGTGATGAAAGAATCTTACAAGACTAGATCTATAGTCTGGACATTTAATAAATCACAAAACCAACAAATGTTATTTTTAAACAAACCGTGGGAAATGTGGCAACCACATTTATTCATTGAAAACGCGCGTGAGAGTTACAACTTTGATTAGAAAACAGTTTAAGCATCACAAAGGCTAACTCGCATTTCCAGAGATAGAAGGACATAGAAACGAATACATGTGTCGAACGTGTGGTGGGGAAGTGTGAGAACGACATTTTTAAAGTTTAAAATACATGTAATTCCACTCGCTACAGAGACAGGCCCAATCAGAACAAGCCTTGAGAAAGTTTTAGATGGACTTGTCCCTTACGCGTACCAAAGCAGATCTTTTTTCGCCAATCAGTGCTACAAACACACGACATACGAGTAAATGCTTCTTACCAAACACACTCAAGTGTTCGTAACAAAACTATATTTACTTTGTCGCCGTCATTTACCATAGACATATATATATATACAGTGAGTAGGCGTTGGTGTCACTGTTTCATGCGGACATAACATTGCATCAGGGATGAGTGTCGATATGCATTGCCCATCGCCCACAGATAGCATTAATGTCACGTTCATAAGGTAAATGCCTAGGTCATTTTTAGTCAATTTGAGCACATGAGGGGAAAAAACCTGTTTCTTTCTAACAATTGATTCTGTGAAACGCCTGAATTTTGGTATATTCGATTTTATATTCAAATGATTCTTTTGCCCAACTGAACTATACATGGACACGTATGACCAAACTGTCTCTGCTCTACATTTCGGAACCAAAAACACCAACCGGTAAAAAATGACGTAGGCAATTATCTTATGAGCGTGACGACAAGCGAAGCGTGACTTCGTCATGGAGGTCAGGTCGGTCAGCGATGAAGTGACCCGAAGTGAAATGGCCGTCTGATTATAACTTATTATAAATATAAGATCACAGCATGTGGCGTTTAAGCAATGACAATGCAAGGAATTTCATACAGCGTCGATATTTCCACCATCCCTTTCCCGTGCTTCCTTGCAAAAAGAACGTCATTTAAGCGTAGAGCAGTTTTTCTGGTATTGTTTCCATAATATTTGATAATATCTGTGGAAGATATAGAAGAGGATATTAATTGTATCACAATGTATTATATAAACCAGACAGCAGGAAAATGGATGTGGTGTATGTTAGTGTAAGCACAAACACATTCCAAACATTTCTTGTAATAGGTGCAGTAATTATTTTCAAAAAGCTAGTGCTCCCTGTACATGATGTAGTTGTAGGATATTGCACAACGTGTGGTCATGTGTCTTCACTCTCTGAGACCTATATATATTACTTGGCATTCATTGACCTAATTAGCCAGGCGTGCCCCACTGTCACTGTCCCAGACCATGCACCAAAACTACACTACCGCTCTCGTCTTCAGTGGCGGAACACAGCCTTCCAACCCTTTCATGAACCCCCCCCCCAAAAAAAAAAAAAAAAACAAAAAAAAAACAACAACAACCTCAAAACAAAACAAACGAACAAACAAACAAAAAAAGGACGTGGAACTTCCCTCATCTACGTTGAAAGACTCGTCTCACAACAAAATGTATACACGTGAATGGATACGTAATAAAAATGATAATTACGTTTGGCTTGCTAACGGCAGCGCGGCATTTTGATGGTTCCAAAAGAGAGTAGGAGTGGGAACAGAAAGAGTAAGAGAGAGAGAGAGAGTGAGAGAGAGAGA